ATGATTGGTGCACTTTGTTTACTTATGATAGAACAACTCACATAGGATTACAATATACACACATAAGTATAGCATTTATTACAAAAGTTGAATTATAATTGCAAATTGGACTTGGACAGCTGATGTTTATAAATACTCTAAATTAATAATAGGGATAATTACTCTTAACCTCCTTAAAGTTTCTTCAATCTACACTAATCTAGACTGACTCTTCTTATCACTACTGTTAACTGAATCGCATGTATTATTGTGTAATTACATTTTTATCCATATTATATATTATATTTTATTATAGAGTAGTAGAAGGAAATTTTATCCTTTTAATGTCATCAATAAATCTAATCCCTTCAATTATCCAAAATGGTTTTAAAAATTGGTGCTAAAATCATTTTTTTTAATATATATTATATTGCTTTAAGATGGATTGAAGGCATCCAAGTAGCTAGCAATCTTCTGCTTACTTTATTTATTTTATATTAATTGGAAACAGTTACTATATAATGTCCAACTCCAATGCAGAGTTTTTTATTTTTATCTTTTAATGGAGAAGACAAATTCTGACTGGGATTGGATCATGTTCAAGATATTTCAAAATATTATCTTGAATGGTTGTATAGTTGTGGGTCCCTGCAGTAACAATAGTTTATTATATTTTATGAATAAGGTACAACTAGTTGATTTTTTTTTTTTTTTTTTTTTTTGTTGGTATAATACGCGGGTCACTTGTTTTTCGAGATATGTATACATATATAAGTCTATTTTTTCAAATTTTCTATGCAGTGAGTGTTGCACCTAATTTAAGAACTCCATTGATTCTTCTACCCATACTTTGGTTTCTACATCGCTGGGTGATACTTCGATGGGTGAGGCTTCTAGTTTTCCATCTTCTTCCCACTGGTCTCCCCGACTTCTAGTTTTCCATCTTCTTCTCACTGGTCTCCCTCACCTATGGGTATTGTCAAATGTAACGTGGATGCTTCATTTTACTTGTCAAATAAAATTGGTGGCGGATGGGCTGTTTTTAAGAACTCCCAGGGCAGATTATGCAGTCGGTGGTTTTTTCTCCTTTCCCAGCACAGAGTGCTTCCCAGGCTGAAGCTATCTCTCTCCGTAAAGCAGTCTTATGGACTTTATCTCAGTGTTATGATCAGGTTTGGTTCGAATGTGATTCGCTGCTAGTGATTCAGACAGTGAATGGGGTGGATGGTAGTCCGGTTGAAATTCATGCTCTTTCTTTTGATGTGCAAGTGCTTCTGGAACGATTCTCCTTTTGTTATCTTAGTCATGTCCGTCGGCATGGCAATGGAGGCGCTCATGCATATCTCTCTCCGGTTGAAATAATGTTGGGGAGAGAAACTATGAATTACGGATACAAAGTGTGTGATAAGTGATCATAATTGAATAGCATTTCTATAGTTAACATCGGTAACGAAGAAAAATGAGAGTAAGATATATGTGTGTGAAATATGTACCTCGTGCAAGGTCAGAGGATGCATTTGAAGAGAAAGAAGTGTAGCAGTTTCCCTAATGCAGAAATCAATAGTCTCTCACTTCCATTCGTCTCTCTCTCTCTGTGTGGATTGAATGGTGAGTGAAAAGAAAGTACCATAATCGAACTTCCATGGTTTTGGCGCCGAAAACACCTTTGGAATTTGGGAAACTTCAAGAGCGAAGTTCATCGCCAATCTCCTTTAATTACACATTTATACTGTAATTTGGTTATTTTACATTTGTGCCCCCCTACATTAATGACTTTTTCAGTTTTTGTATGATTTTCTTTTTGAGATTTTCTACTTGGTTACTTACTACAATTCACCCTGCTAGGTATAATCATGGTTTGTGGGTGTAGCGTAGTTGAATGGTAGGATGAATTTTTAATGTCTGAATGAAGTTTGGATAGGATGAATTTTTAATGTCCGAATGAAATTTGGGTTCGAATCATTTTCACTGCGCAAGGTTATAACTTAAATCTTACCCATAAGACTGGTACCGGTAAGGGTCCTCCAATTAGATTGGTATGATTTTTTTTTTTTTTTTTAAAATTCTATTTGATTATGTACTATTCACCTTATTTGATATAATTTAGATAAGTAGTGAACTTGAATTGAATATATCATATTAGGCTAAATGAGATTCGTACTTAGCTCGAACCAATTCAATTCATAAAATATTTAATTGTATGGATCAGTTGAACCAATTTGAGAGTTAGGGCTTAGGAGATTGATGCAAATGGTTAGGAATTTATCTGTAAACATGGGGTTTTCTGTATTTTCCCCTTGTTTTATATAGCAGCAATTTTTAATAATGGATTAAAATAATGATGGTGTGGGAGCTACAACAAATTGGTCAAGCTAGGCCTGACTATTTCCTGTGGCACGAGAGCTGTGTCCAAACTTAGGGTCAGTTTGGTATAATGAAAATGAAAGGAACAGAAAATAATATTAATAATGGAAGGAAATAAAAAAATATATGTTTGGCAGGAAATCATTCTAAATTCATTACATTACAATAATTTTTCCTTTCCTTTCACATGCATGATTACTATTATTTTCTTTCTTTTTTATTAATAAACAAATAATTAACACTATTATCTCTTTTCCTTTCTTTTCTTTTTTTTCCTAATTAATATTATCATTTTTTTTTTATTTCATGGTAACAAACATAACCTTAGGCATACCATGGGTGGGAAATTAAGGGCTACAATGAAATCAAAAGCCCTCAGTGTGGCACAATCTAGTCTAGCTTGTTTTTTCAATGGATCAGCCTTGTACGTACGTCTATTTGAACTCATTAATGCTATTACATTTATCTCAAAATCAAATGCGGCATTGTATATATTATTGTTGGTTTCAACCGGTCCCGTAAACTATATTGGTTGATCCTATAATCTACATTGTACTTATTCACCTTAGGGATTGTGACTCGTCTCAAAATATTTGTCCAGAATTTTTTCAATATGGACAAATATTTTGAGAGTTTATTCAAAGTTGACAAAATGTTTTGAGACAAGGGGAGTATCAAGTATTATGTGTAGCCATAACAAGATTTGATTTGATTTATTATGTTTGGTTATGATATTAATCTCAAGGAGCTTTATTTTATCGACTGTTTGTTTCTTTTAGTAGGGATTTTATTTATTTTTATTTTTTTGACAAGAAGGCAAAAAATTTATTGATAATTTGATTTGATCCGGGATAATTCCAAGTACATCAACAACTCAAAAATAAATTTTTTTTAACACACAATGCAATCTCAAAAATAATTTTTTTTTTTTTTTTTTTTTTTTTTTTTAAATTTATTCTTAAAAGCTCAACTTGCTAAATGATGAGCATTATCTTCTACCATAGGATCACAACAACGGTAGTAAATGGGCCTTTTGCAATAACCTCAGCATCAACCTCAAAGATGGACCTTCTTAAAAAAAATTCCAATACGATACTATGAACAAGGCCCGATAGGTTCGAAATAAAAAAGGCTTTTGGGCCAAAACATGGAAAGCAGTACCCCAACAATTACTAAGGCCCATTTTAAAAAACCCTAGTTTCGAAGCCCAAAAATTAGCTAGCATGCAGGGGAGAGTTTGATATTTCATTATTGGGATAGGGCTGGCTCCACCCTTAGGTGAGGTAGCAGCTAATAAGAAGGCCTCAAATATATATATATATATTTTTTATTTCTCTATATTATAAGATTCTTAAAAATTTTATTTCCTTCTTATTTAATTACTATACATCTATATTTACCAAATCAGTTATGGTAGGTAAATATATCATCACTGATTTAGTAATGAAAGAAGACATACCCATTTTTTACTGGTCCACGTCAGCAAAAGAGATTTAATAATGGACCCAAAATATTTCTATACGTGTCTCATCTCTTCTTTGTGTTTTTCCTCTTTCTCTTCTTCATCCACATTTTTTTGGTGTTAAGGAGATATTGTTTGAATAGGAACGGTGGTGGGAGTAGGGTTGATATACAGGACGATGTTTAAAAATTATTTTATACAATACTTACTAAAAGAATTTGCTGACTAAATTATCCTCCCTTGACTTACTGTAACTACTCACTCTTTTTTTTATGTTTAAGGTCACTAAAAATCAAATTTTTTATTAAAAAATTGGTCACTAAAGTCTAATTTTCTTTATTATTCTTTCTTTTTTTATTTATTTTTAATGTGTGGCAGTTTTTCAATTTTTTGGTCGACAGTGTTAGTGACTAAGAGTATCCTCATAATTTACCACTAAGATACATTCAATTTTTTGTCCCACATATACAGAACAATTCGAATAGCAGCTTAACTTTGGGTGGACTAATTTGCAAGGTTTGAATAGCATAGGGGTGCGAAGAAGATGAGATGGGATATTCAAACAAAGCTACGAGCTCATAAATTCTTTGAAACAAGAAGATTACCTACAAGAGGTTGGCTACCAAACTCACCATAAACAATTTGCTGAAAAGTCAAAAGCTTTGGTCTTCGGGAGCAGCTATTTGTTTTCAGTATTCTCAAATTGTTCGGAACTAAGCACTAAACTGAATAGTGAATCGAGTTATCAAACAACACCTCAAGTGATTTTACCACATATACCATAAAATCGAACAGGTTACATAGGTGAGGTTATTAAAAATAACTTAACAAAGTTAAACATGGTAGGGGATGATATGCCAAAAACAAAAAAAAAAAAAAAAAAATCATGTGGTCGTTCAAATTCATACCAATTATCACCTATTCAACATAATTTACTACCAGCCTAGTACAAAACCGAACAAAACCCTAGCAAGGGGCAAAATTGATCATGCAAACTACAAATTGAAGCAGAATATGAAGACTTATAAGATCCATGGTCCCAAATAAAAAATATAACATGTTAACACCTAACAAATGGGAGAAAAAAAGGTTAAAACAAGCACATCTTTTTTAATATTCGTTGAAACCAATTCTGCCAAGAGCTTTTGTCAAATGAAATCAGATAAACCTTGAAAGACTTGAAAAAACAGAAAAATTAAGCAAAAGGCTAAAGACTTGAAAGAATAAAATAGATAAACCTTAAAGTACAACTTTCCTATCCATGAATTACATGAGGAAGTTACAAATTTATAATTCTTACTGCCAAACTGAACCTTTTTCGAATGTTTCATCAACTGTAAGTCCATTCCACTGAGTAATCGAGTTCTAAGAGCCATGTCTTCAAAATCCTGATGGAAGTGGAAATCAACACTATCAAAAATTACAAATTTAACCCGTGAAGAGATCAAATTAAAGCACAAATAATTATTAGAGACTGGACAGAACAAAATTAGATGAATTAGTAAATATATAAAAGCGATGGCTATGATATATATAGACTTCGCTTAATTATCAGGGACAACAACAGAATGTAGCAGGTGTTAAAAGTTTATTATATATATATAGCTATACACATCCCCAAGTTAAGCAAAGAATAGGGAAGTAACAAACAAAAGATCCAATGTGCACAGACACAATCACTAAGAAAATTAATCTAGTTTTTTTCAATATTCAGCAAAGCTAACAAGTTATAGGGCTTCGAAAATATTTGATTTCTATCATTGTTGGACAAACTTCACACATGTTACTATGTTAGAGAAAATCAACAAGATGACAGATTTATTATTTTTCCCGGTAAGTCCCAAGATGACAGATTGATATAATATAAAAACTATATATATAAAACCATACAAATACATACTATGGCTAAAATGCTTCAGCCGTGAAGAACAAAAGCAAAATATGCGTTATTCCTACATCTTTGTGCTCATAGACGAATATTTCTAAATAACTTATCAAGGCATGTTGTTCTGTGCAATCGTCGTCTATGGATCCCAGATCCGGCGACCTAGGTGGAGAAGAAGAAAGGCAGCGATTAACGTTTGCCAAAGACGACAGATCCCTGATGTAACGTTGACGGATCGTTGTTAAGAGGCGATGTCCTTCATGTTCAGTTTGATGAACTTGTTCACACCTGTCGCCGTCACCGTCCACCTCCTGGATCATCATGTCCAGCTCCTCCACGGTGGTGTCATTGCCGAGCTCCGATGACGAGATCTTGCAGTTGCCATTCACATTGAATTTCTTGAACACTTGGGTCAGCCCTTCCTAGATCTGGGCACGAGAGGACGAGTTCGACGCCATTGATGGTGAGGCCGTGTCAATATCACAATTCCGATGGAGAGGTTGTTGGTTAAGTTCTGTAGATGGGTTATGTTTGGGTGTGATTGGTGCAAGGGTTTTGCAATTGGGTCTTGTGGCAAGCGTCGCCGATGTTCTCCACCTCTCAACTAGCCGCGATCTCCGTCTTCAAGTTCAATTCAGGTGTTGTGGTTGCCTTGGGCCTCTTACTTGTTTTTGAATTTTGCTTAATTCGTTATTCAAAGGTAGGTGGACCAATTTGATCTCTAGAGTTAATTTATGCAACACATTCAGTTCTGAAACGCATATTATACAATCATTGAATGTAAAGTCGAAAAACTCGAACTGGGTGCATAACATTGAAAGAATGGTAGCTAAAATCAGAATCCACCTATATTTATCTCTGAGTTCTATCTAAACATGCAATATATACATGTGTGTGTGTGTACATAATCTTTTAGCAGTTTCAACATTTTATTAACTTATGTTTGAGAGAGAAAGAGAGAGAGAGAGAGAGTAAACAAACTATGCAATTCAAAACAAGGTTATATACAAGTATGTAATCCAATATTTTTAAAAATAGATGCATATAAATGGTAAAACTTAGCCATTTTTCTTAAAGTGCTCCATAACTTTGAAAACCGAGTCACTTGGTACAGCAAAACTCAAACCAGCAGTAGCTAATTTGAGAATGTTAACACCTATGATATCTCCATCAAGGTCAACAAGGGGTCCACCAGAGTGTCCCTATAGCACAAAAGCTATCAAAATACTTACAAAAAGGATGTGAAGAAATATGGGGGAGAGAGAGAGAGAGAAGCCGAGGAAGAAGCTATGGTACCATATTGATCGCACAATCAGTTTGAACATACTCTCTCTGCATTCCTCCAAGACCCATTACATTGCTTTTACGGACAACACAACTAGTTTAAAAGGGAGAAAAATACGGGTAAAAACATAGTTAATTAACTGTTCTCCTCAATTCATCTCAAGTATAGAAAATTTCGGCCCATGATCAAGAAACACACTAAAATGCAATACATAAATCCCAAACACAAATCCAATAATGGTTATAAAGCAATTAATAAGCAAGATTTATTATTTAAACTATATTTACATATTTGTAGTTATATCAAGACAAACTTTTTAAACTCTCAATATACAATATTAAGAAGCAGAAAAATCCATATCATTCAGTTAATTTTGTATACCTCCAAGACCCATTACATTGCTTTTACGGTCAACATAACTAGTTTAAAAGGGAGAAAAATAGGGTTAAAAACATAGTTAATTAACTGTTCTCCTCAATTCATCTCAAGTATAGAAAATTTCGGCCCATGATCAAGAAACACACTAAAATGCAATACATAAATCCCAAACACAAATCCAATAATGGTTATAAAGCAATTAATAAGCAAGATTTATTATTTAAACTATATTACATATTTGTAGTTATATCAAGACAAACCTTTTAAACTCTCAATATACAATATTAAGAAGCAGAAAAATCCATATCATTCAGTTAATTTTGGATACCTGACAACACCGGCTGTAACAGAGTTTTGAAGGGAAAGGGGACAGCCCAAAGCTACCACCCATTCCCCCGGACGTAGCTTACTTGAAGAACCAAGTTTTGCTGATGGAAGTGGAAGTGTAGAATTGATATTCACAATAGCAATATCTGAAAGTAAATCAGCATTTACCACAGTACCGACAAATGTTCAGCCATCTTACAAAGTCACATCAACCTACAACGTTCAACCACTTTCGGATATAACTAATCAAGAGATGAACTATACATTATACTGTTGCAAATTGTGCACATCTCCATACACCCATTTCGATCATTGCACAACACAAACCACACATACCAGGGATTACACGCAAATTCAAAGATAGCAACCATAGATTCCTAACCTTTCACTGTCCATTTAGAGTTTATAGGCAATAGTTTAAACATTAAAACATTTGCCAAATCATTTTTCTCATTTTATATAATTCATGACATTCCTACCCTATCAAAACAGCATGATTATTGTTCCACAAACCGAAAGTTTGAATTACTTAATATAAATACTGTCAAGTCAAAAACTCCAAAACAGTGTGTTTGTCAAATTGGTCCAACTCTCTTCAGTACTATTCATTTTTACCACAGTGTCACTGTTCACAAGCTATATGTTCTATTCTATTAAGATGGCATAGAATTTTGGCACTTAAATTACCTTTGATTAAGCAAGTTTAAGAAACATTCAAATAAAAAAGGATTTTAAGATATTATCAATCCCTTATTCAAGGAAGCAGCAAAGTTAAAAAAGAATGACAAGGGTAGGAAATTGGTGCTTTTGTTCCATTCAAAAATGTAACTTTTGAAGCTAAAAACCTCTCTTGAAACAAAATCTACAGGGAAAGATGATTGTTTCCAATTTCACTTCCTTGAAGTTTAAAATATATAACCAATTTTTCACGGATCAATTGATTACTCGTACCATTTAGTTATTGTATCCTATCATTCCAGTATTGTTGCAAACTCCAATTTGCTACAAACCATTAATGACTTGTTACCAAATAGCTATTGTATTCTATGCATTGATGCCAACTCCACCATAACACAGATCTCTCAACAAGCCCAAGATAATTCCTTCATTGGTTGAATCATTGATTATTTTACAAAATCAAAGGATTAAAAAATCATTCTCTTGGGCTTGTTGAGAGATCTGTGTTATGGGTGCAGTTGGCAGCAATGCATAGAATACAATAGCTAAAGATGGACATTTTTTGTGGGACGGAGGGATTATATATGATTGGTATTCATACATCACAAATATTAGTCACACGAGTCAAGACATATATGCTTATAGGAGTAAGGGAGCACAGCATTGGTAGCCATTACACGAGACTAAAACTGAACAAAACTAATGCATCAAATATTGTAGTTAAAATGCTAAAATCACTAGACTAAAGCTGAACATGACAAAGATATCAAATTTAAAAATAAAAATAAAATGAAAAAATGAGGTCATATAATCCACAAAAGAAGATGGAGATCAACAGTGCAAACAAAGACCGCAAGATATATTTAGCTTGTTTTTTCAATATTTAAATTTGTTCTTTGGATCAGCCTTGTACGTACGTCTATTTGAACTCATCGTGCAAGGTCAAATGCATTAAGTTAACTCTAAATATGTATGTTCTCTGACACAAAAACTAAAAATGACAACATAGACACAAATCACACTCATACCCAAATACATTAAGTTATATGATGTCCATATTTCTAATCTAATTTTGTAAATTTGCACAAGGCCATCAAATTTATTAGCTCCATACATGCGAAATGAACCAACTTGAGGTAAATAAATTTCATAACATAATAGTGATAAAACAGAGAGAATTAGAAAACAGAACAGTCAACAAGGCATGAAAAGGAACAGCAAACAAAAAATGAATCTACTAAACGGACAAGCTAAGCCATGTTTTTCAGAGTAGTACACCATATGGATACAAGAAAGAAAAATTGTGAATATCTAGCGCAAAAGGGTACCTACTTACCTGCCATGCTATGCCGCCAAGCCATTGCTTCTCGGAAAACAGATTCAGTCTCAGCCTGCCTCAAGTATTAAATCATGAAGTCCCAAAGGATGTCATGATCTTTAAGCACATATTTCTGCTTTCTATGAGGCCTTCTTAACCACAAATAATTCACCAACTTCATCTGAATAAGGGAGTACATATTTCTCAAAGAACTTCTTCTCAGTGATATTGCATGCGGTCACCAAACTCGGCTTTTTAAGAAGCAAATTCATGCTTTCCAGAACCTCCAGAACTCTTATCTGTGGCTCAAGCCTATTCTCAATACTGTAACTAAATAATTATGGGTGATTAACAACAAATGAGATATCACATTTGCTCGTGCTGAGGAACAACTGTGTTATCGCCTTAATTTTCCTCTTTGACCGAACAAAAATCAAAAGCAATCTCCTAAAAACCGACAAAATGTCATCTTCTGAAAATCCCAAACTCTTAAAGACCTCCAATTTCAACTCCCAATTCTCTTTAGTCATCAAACCAATAGCCTTAATCGCATGAAGAAACATCTTAGACTCCCTGTCAAGGCCCATCTCATCAACCCTCTTGACATATTCTCTAATACGTGTCGGTTTAAACAAGAAAAGTCACGACGGAAGAGACTTTCAAAGCAGTTTCATGAGAAAATTTGTGTCTATCAATCAAGTAATCCGCCACCGGAATGGGGGGTTTTGGAGACGAAGAGAAGAAGAGGAGAGAAGAGGGATTCGAGTTTTGTAGAAATGTGAAGACTTGTTGAGAGAGAGAGAGATGAGAGTTTTGCAGATATATATAGTCATTTCTTGAAGAAACACAGTGATGTAGTATGTATAATATGCTTTCAATCAAAGCAAAGAGTGTAGAGATGAGTACTTGCCTGTAAAGTGGTGAGCTTCATAGACTTGCAGTGATTCGATTTTCTCTCCTCTCTCGCTCTGGTTCTCTGGAAGTGATTGAATGATGAACTGTGTGCCCTAAAAATAGTTTGAATTCTCTAGATTAAGGCCTTAAACCCAAAGCGATAATGTTACTTCAATGTTTGATTGAGTGAAAGCCCTGGCCCAAGAATTAGGTGGCTGGTGCAAACAATTTTTTTTATGTTTTTTTCCGCTCCAATGTGCCAGAGGTATTAACCTATTGGGTCAACCCACTGACCTAGGCATCTGTAACAAAATTAATAGTAAAATAGTAACATTGGAGGGTGTTGGTATAATTTCATTTGAATAAGTGGGGTATACAATTGTCAAAAGAGGGTACTGAAAAGGGACATAGGACGTTTATCACAGATTTATTACTTATAATGCATCACATTAACAAAATTAAAATTAAAGTTATTTAAGCGAGTACAAAGAAAAGTTGTTAACTAATACTAAAGCTAAAGTTGTTTAATCCATTAACAGAAAAATATTCGTTAGCATTTCTGTAGTTAACAATGGTGATGAATAAAAATGAGAGTTTAATATATACGGGTGTATATAAACATACGCATATATGTACCTCGTGCAAGGTCAGGATGCAATCGAAGAGAAAGAAGTATAGCAGTTCCCCTCTATGATGGAGAAATCAGTAGTCTCCCACTTCCATTCGTCCTTCTCTCTCTGTGGATTGAATGGTGAGAGAAAAGAAAGCGCCACTTTGATGGTTTTGGCGCCGAAAACACCTTTGGAAATTGGTAAAGTACAAGAGCAAAGGTCATCGCCAATCTCCTTTAATTACACATTTATACTGTAATTTGGTTATTTTACATTTGTGCCCCCTACATTAAAGACTTTCAGGTTTAATATGATTTTCTTTTTGAGATTTTCTAGTTGGTTATTTACTACTATTCACCTGCTTGGTATAATCATGGTTTGTGGGCGTAACTCAGTTGAATGGTACGATGGATTTTTAATGTCTAAATAAAGTTTGGGTAGAATGAATTTTGAATGTCTGAATGAAGTTAGAGTTCGAATCATTTTCGTTACGTAAATTTACAACTTATATCTTACTCGTGAGACTAGTACGGGTAAGGGTCCTTTAATTAGATTGGTATGATTTTTTTTTCTAAAAAAGTTCTTTTTGATTATTTACTAGGCTTGATATAATTAAGAAAAGGAGTGATCTCGAACTGAATATATCATATTAGGCTAAATTAAATTTATGAGAAGGCTTAGTTCGAACCAATTCAATTCATAAAATATTTAATTGGATCGAATCAGTTGAAACAATTTGAGAGTTAGGAACTTGGGAGATAGATGCAAATGGTTAGGGATTTATCTATAAATCAGAGCAAGCTCATGGGTTTTTTTTTTTTTTTTAATTTTATTTTCCCCTTGTTTTATATACAGTAGCAGCAATTTTTAATAATGGATTAAAATAATGATGGTGTGGGTGTAGGCAAACGTGCTAGTTTAAAAGCTTTTCGAGGGATTTTAAATTCATAGATCTTGATTCATCACATGGAGACAAGTTTTATGCAAAAATAAAACATGATGTATCATTCAATTAAAAGATTGAATACTTACATCAAGATTTGAGTAAACCTTAAATCTCTCCTCTAAAGTGAATGTTCTCACTTATTATAGATCTCTTTTGCTAGACACATTTTTCATGGATCTCCATCTTCTTGGTAATAGTCTTGCCTTTAGAAATCAATCATAAGCCTGCATGAATGATCTTGGAAAATTAGGCTTGTGGGAGCCTTCATTAGATGAGAACACTAACCCTAATTTTCTAGAGAGAGAAATTTATTCATTTTTTCTTCTTAAAAAAAAATCACCCCCAAAATATACATAAACCATGTATATTTATAGGCAACATAAAAATAAAGAAAAGGAAACAACAAATCCTTCTCAATCTCTAATTCATATGTCTCAGATCTAATATGATTCCAATATCAAGTTGGGTTATGAGTGAGAATCCATTGGGCCTATTATTTTATTGGCTACAATGAATTAATAATTGGCCCGGTTCATGGATCCAATTCAATTAATTCATAAATTAATTTCTATTCTACTAAAAGAAATTAATTAAACTCTAATTAAATAATAAATAACCTCTAAGTCAATATTGCACTTTGACTCCTCTATGCATAATTAGTTATCGGATAAATAAAGCCATCAATCCAACTACGTAATTAATATATTTATTTTGGTACCTTTAATTATTTCTAACTCGATCACAATAAAACATTTATTTGACAAAAATAATAATTTAAATAAATAAATATATAATAAATCATTTTGTCTAAAAACACACGAAGGCCTTTGAATTTACTTTGTGATTAACCATAATCAATACAAAATAAATACAAGTAGCAATGCTGCAAATATTGAAAATATAACCCTCTAATTATTAATTACCTAACTACCCAAAGTGTCGGTCTAAGGATTCCGAAGAATCCGCCGAACAAATCAAAGTAATTATTAATTAATAAAAGAGTCTATAATTTTCTCATACTTAAGAGTCAAATGCCATGACGGTGATAGGGAGTAATTGCATACGACGGCTCTCGCAATATATCTCAACTTAACGCGGATCCAGTTTAAATCTTAATTAATTATGAGTCCATCCATAATTACCAACTATGAACCATTTATGATTACTATTTATATATCATGCATTGATTGCCATCACATACATATATATAAATATCTCTTGTAATCAAATGGACACTATCAATTCTATAATGAATCGAAATATAATACATTGAATTCACCAATTGTATAAAACATAAATATTTCAGAAACGTCAGGAACATATGTCACTTTAATCCAAACAGGAATTTGCTATGCCAGGGCATATAAATCCCAACAGCTCCCACTTGCCCTCATAGCCAATTCAAATTGCACCTAACTCCAATGCTATCCAAATGATGATCAAAATTATTGATCAATGACACCTTTGATAATGGATCAACAAAGTTGTGTTCCAATGCAATGTTCTAGCTACAAGTATATTTTCTTGCCAGACAATATCATGTAGAACATGATACTTCCTCTCAGTGTATCTTGTTCCTCTATAGAAGCTTGGGTTATTGGTTTGGACTACTTTTGCACTAATATCACAACATAGCTCAATAGGCAGGCTAGTATACTCCACAACCTCCAAATCAGTAAGATCAAACCAATAGGCTTCATTTGCCGCCTTTAAGGCTGCAATATATTCCACCTGCAAGTTTGAGTCAGCAGTTGAAATCTGCTTAACAATCTACCAACTAATTTTCCTTCCATTAAGTGAACATACACTAAGTCATGAACCTCATAGTATCTACTTCTGATTGAAAATCAGAACTAACATACCTGACTAGAACCATATCATCACATCCATAAATGAGTATGATATCATTGGTTCTCCTTAGGTACTTAATGATATTTTTCACAACAGACCAGTTATCAAGTCCAGAATTGGACTGATATCTACTGACTATCCCTACTATGTAGCGGATGTCCTATTTGGTATAGACCATGGCATATATGAGACTCCCATATGCCAAAGCATATAGTTCCAGTCTCATTTGCTCAATCTCCTCTGCTAGTCTTGGAAAACTACTTACTAGAGAGAGCAATCCATATAAATAAAGCAAGAACTCATTCTTTGAGTTATACATACCAAACCTGGTCAAAACTTTATCAATGTAGGATTATTAAGATAAGCCTATTTTCCTTTTAACCTGATCTTGCAAAAGCTTGATCCTAGAAATATAGCTTACATCTTGAAAATCCTTCATTTAAAAGTAATTGAACAACTACCTCTTTATTGATGACAAAACTTCCACATCATTCTAAATGAGTAGGATGTCATCAATATATATAGAATCAGAAAAATAATGACATTCCCTTGTACACTCATGATTTATTCACTAAGAAATCTTCTGGTATCTTTTTGTAGATTAACTTGCCTTCCATAGGAATCACCCTACTAGAAAGTTCTACAAGATCCCAGAATTTATTAGAATACATAGATTCCAACTCTGATTTCATAATAACTCGCCGAAAC